CCCCCTGCCAGCCGGGGCGGGGCGCGCGGGCCCGCCATGCCGGACAACTCGGGGGTCAAGACGTACGGTGGGGCCGGAGCGGGCCGCTCCAGGGGCGCCTACCAGGACCGGGACAAGCCCGCACAGATCCGCTTCAGCAACATCGCCGCGGGCAAAGGTGCGGCCAGGCCCGGCCGGGGGCGGGATGGACCCCCGCGCCCTGCCTCACTCGTGGGGGCGGCCCCCTTCCCTCACCGCCCCCAGGCCCTGCCTCCCCCAGGGGGTGGGGGGGCTGGGTGCTGCTGATGCCCACGTCCATTCATTGTATTTAGGCAGGTGTGTGGGGTGACCTGCTGCTAATTAAATCGGGAGGTGTTTGGGTTGTTTTTATAATCGGCTCTGGGTGTTAGAAGCAGCCCTGGGGTGTTGGTGTTTTCCCAGATTTTTTGCAGGTCACGGTAATGAGGCTGCTTTTAGACTGTGCCCACGCACTGAAGTGATTTTGGCTCAGGCCTTTAGGTAGAGTTGGGCAGTTGTCAGCCTGTCTTCTGTGCAGACCTGCTGCCTGTGGCTAGGGTGGCACAGGTCCTGTAAGTGTGCTGGCTGCCCCAGTTAGACATGTAAAAATCTGCATGTGCCCAACTGTTGGGTAAAAGTGTCTTTGTCTTCTTTCAGCTGTTGCCGATGCAATTAGAACAAGCCTGGGGCCAAAAGGAATGGATAAAATGGTAAGCCTGGAGCTTAGTATCTTAATTGTTTTCAAAGTCTAGTCAGTGTGTTTAAGAATGTTTCAGGTATGTGTTTTAATCAAATAAGCATCTTTTGTTTGTTTGTTGGTATTTGTTAATCATCAAGATAACTTCTAAGCAGGTGAGCCTGGCTTGGTAGTTATTGGAATAAAGGGAATATCTTGAAATCTAATGATGGTCATAAGTGATTATTTTTTCTTTAAAGTGGAGAGCATGTTACGGGGCTCTTGGGGTTGATTTAGTGTTAAGTATATGCAACTAAAAGACATTAAAGTACATATCTTTAATTTTTCTCTAGATTCAGGATGCTAAAGGGGATGTGACAATTACCAATGATGGTGCCACTATTTTGAAGCAAATGCAGGTCCTGCATCCTGCAGCCAAAATGGTAAGTAATGCTTAGTTTCTTCCTCTAAACACCGTTTCCCAACCTGGATAGTAAAATGGCCTACGGCAGGGGTTCTCGAACTGTGATATTGTGACCCCGAGTGCTGGATGGCAGAGGACAGGGAGCTTGTAAGCAGCAGCTGCCGTTGCCATCTACCACACCGTGCTGCTTCCTTATGTCATCGCGTGTACCCCCTGGGAAGTTGCATCTCGAGTAGAGCCAGGGAGGTGATCATCCCCCTCTATGCGACGCTGGTCAGGCCGCAGCTGGAGTATTGTGTCCACTCCTGTGCTCCCCATTTCAGGAGGGATGTGGACAACATGGAGAGGGTCCAGAGGAGGGCCACCCGCATGATCCGGGGACAACAGGGCAGACCCTACAGTGAGAGACCGCGGGACCTGAACCTATTTAGCCTCCACAAGAGAAGGCTGAGGGGGGACCTGGTGACCGTCTATAAACTCACTAGGGGGAACCAGAAGGGTTTGGGGAAGACGCTGTTTCCCCTAGCCCCCGCTGGCATAACAAGGAGTAATGGGCACAAGTTGATGGAGAGGAGGTACAGATTGGACATCCGAAAAAACTACTTCACAGTTAGGGCGGCTAGGAGCTGGAACCAACTTCCAAGGGAGGTGGTGCTGGCCCCTACCCTGGGGATCTTTAAGAAGAGGCTGGATACTTACCTGGCTGGACTCATTTGAGTCCCGGTTTTGTTTTTAGGATTTTTTTTTTGGGTTGGTCTCCCGCCCTGGCGGGGGGTCAGGCTAGAAGATCTATTAGGTCCCTTCCGACCCTAAAAACTATGAACTATAACTATGAACTAAGTTTGCAGCCCTGTTTTAAGTTGCTTACTAGCCCCAGTTTGAGAACCCCTGGCCTAAGGGGACAACAGGCTAATTTAGTTTAATCGTGAAGCTGAGATGATTGTAGTTTTAGAAAGCTGTAGGGCACCCAACATAGAGTACATGAGCAAGATACAGTAGCCAGGAATCTAAAACAAAAGGATCTTTTGTACTTTCTGAGAATATTGGCCCATGCAGCATGTAGTCACACCTGCAAATGGGATATATCCATGCCTTGGAGGAAGGCAGAATCCCCTAAAACAGATGCACACAGTTGTGTATTTGGAGGAAAATCTTTCATTATTCCTGCAGGCAAGTGGCTGCAGGAGTGATGATGAATGAGGAAGATGGACTGAAGTGTAACTATACCTTTTGTAACCAGAGGAAAATATATAGAAACAAATTGTGCATTAGGAACAGCTACCTATATTTGAAGTCCCAAAACAAGTTAAATAATGGGACCAATCTCTGATGTTTAAAGTTAGTAAGTTTAACTGCCCTTCCGGTATGATGCTCACTGGAGTCTTGAATATTCTCCTGTTTCATCCACTGCCACTGTATATAAAAGTAAGTTGATTCCAGTAGACTTAACATGATTTATTTTTTATTGTCATTTAGTTGGTAGAGCTGTCCAAAGCACAAGATATTGAAGCTGGTGATGGCACCACATCTGTTGTTGTCATTGCTGGAGCTCTCTTGGATGCCTGTTCTAGACTTCTCCAGAAAGGTACGTTATTTTGAGTAAAAGGAAATCTAACTGAATTTAAATGAGGTATTTCAGATTGATGAGTCTTCACTAATAGTAGCTCTTAGAATAATTGTTGTTTGCATTTTGGTGTTTGGTAGAGAATTAGCCAGAGCTTCAAGTTTTCCATTTCTGGAATAATATCCCCTTTCTAATGGCAGTCTTGTAGCATTTATCTTTATCGTTGAGTTGATGTTTCCAGTATCAGCAATTAAACACAGCCATTAAAGTGTCTAGACATGTTGCAGGGGTTTAGGTTGTAGCTGTGTTGGTCTAAGGACATAGGCAGACAAGGTTCCTTGGGTGAATTTGATATCTTTTATTAGACCAACCCAAATAGTTGAAGAATATTTATTAAGCAAGCTTTCGGGTTCAAAAACATGTTGATAATATGTAACCAGATAAAACTTGAATAGATAATATATTTATTTCCAGACCTATTGTGATAAGAGGCATAGCAAAATTAAAGAAAACAAACAGAGATTAATATTTGTAAGAGACTTGGAACATGGAAAGTAGTATATTTGTCTGTGGGTACTGGTGATTCTGCTATCTAGTGAAGCTGCTAGCAGCAACCAAATAGTGTGAGAGCCAGTGGGATTTGTGTTGGAAAAACTGCTAGTGTCAAAACAATAAAAAATGAAAACAAAAAAAATATTGTCTAAAATGAGGAATTGGTTTTACTCTGGATGAAATGCATTATTGCAGTGCCTCACTAAAGTTGATTCTGTTCAGCTGAGTCTGGTAGGAGTATCACAACAGTACCTTATGTATACAGAAAGAAGCTCACCAGTGCTCGTGCTGCATAGTGGAATGATCTGCACTGTTAGTTGCATCTTTAAATGGAACTTCATGATCATCGCACACTCTTGAGTTGACAGATTTTCTTTTTATAATACTAATGTATGGTAGGACAGATCTGATTTGTCAGACATGTGAAGGGAACTGTGGTAACTTCTGAGAAATAAGGATGGCTTTGTAAAAAACACTGGACTTGGGTTTGGATTCAAGTCCCCCGCTCTACCATATGCTTTCCATGACTGTAGATAAATCACTTGTTTTCTTTGTGCCACAGCTTGGTGTTGTAAAAGGAATGACAATAATTTCCTACCGTACAAGGGCTTTAAGGATAAGTTCTTTAATTATTGTGAAGCATTGGGATACCTTAATAATTAGAAGGCAACGTAAATCTCTAATTAGGTTCAGTATACCAAAAGCACATCAATGTATGTATTGATATATACATTCATGACTGAATATCATGACTATATAGCTATTTATGTTAAACTTGTAAATCTATTATTGTACTAAGCAAGCTCAACAGTGGTTTTTCTTAAGTACAGATTTCCAGTCTCTAACAAAATATATAACCTTATTGGAATGCTTGTATGCAGGCTTCAGATACTACAGGCAATGCATTATATTAGTCCATGAGAACAAGCAGGCAAATCTGAAAGTTGTCATTGATGAAGCTGAGCTTATCACCAGAAACAAATTTACTGGTAAAATATAAATTCATATTATTGTTATTCTAAGAGTCAGATTTTAAAGAGGCACTGGTACTGTAGCAACCCAATCTTCAAACTTTCAGGAGTCAAGGTGGAAAGTAATGCAAACAGTTAATCTGAAAATTTTTAAATATCTCTTTTCTAATAGGAATTCACCCTACCACCATTTCGGAATCATTCCAGAAGGCTTTAGATAAGGGTGTTGAAGTCTTGACCAACATGGCACATCCCGTTGAACTGAGTGACAGAGAAACTTTGCTAAATAGTGCAACTACTTCACTGAACTCAAAGGTAAGAATTGAGTGATAGATGAATATTTAGCCTAATTTCTGAGTTAAATTAAATTAAAATGTGTTTATAGGGGGATGTTTATACTTTGTATATTTTTACCTTTTTAGAGTGCTCAGGAACAGGGCTTTTTCTTATATTTTGGGTCTAGCAAAATGATTCTGTATGTGCTGCCATAATACAAACATTTTTAGTTCAGTCAGCCAACATATGCATAAATTGAATTCAGACTTCTTCCATTATTTCCATGAAACTTGTTGGACTAATTTCCTTCCACTGCCTCCATATTTACTGTTCTCTTTTTGATGTCTTACATATTGCAAATGAGATTACTTGGGACACAAGTAATTATAGGAACTTTGTGCACTGTTTGGATGGTGACTTTTCATGAAGCTGTAGTTGATTGGTGTTAACTTGCACAATCAACAATTTGATCTGAATTTCAACTTCAAACACATTTCATCTGAAATTTTTACATAATTTTAGGTGCTACCTGAAACATTGTTGAAACTGGAAATAACGTAGAAGTTCCCTTCAACTGCTTTACTTTGAATATTTGACAAAGTGTTCCCTAAATCAGTTCTATTATTCACGCAGACACAGTTTTTCTCATAAAGGTGCCATTGTAGAATTCTTCAATGTTATTCCTTAAATGACTAGATTTCAAGTTTACTCTCCTTTTAAGCATAACAGATACAAAGACACCTCTTTTAAATAGTTTTATATTGGATATTTGAGTCAAAATATTTGTTTTGAACAATGTTCTGTCTGTATCTGAACAACATTGTTTTTAAATGTTTATCTGTGTTACCATAGCTATACTGTCTACAAATTGTTTTTCTTCTTTGTCAAAATAAATGCAACTCTACACCAAGTTGCTTCCTTGAAAGGGAAAAAAAATAAAAAATCAGTGTATTTTTAAAATGGGGTGTTCATGAGTACAGAAAAGAGAGCAAAAACCTGTGAATTTGTTGACTATGTAATCTTAATTGTGTTCACTCAGCTAGATTGAAGAATCATGTTCCCTACCTACCACAGTAAAGTTTTTGTTTTTTTTCCTTTTATTGAATCTCTGTAGGTTGTCTCTCAGTACTCTAGTCTGTTGTCTCCAATGAGTGTGGATGCAGTGATGAAAGTGATTGACCCATCGACAGCTACTGGTGTCGATCTTAGAGACATTAAAATGGTTAAAAAGCTTGGGTAAGGAATAATTCATGGTTCGTGGTTCTGTCAATAAACTGCCTAACTCCTTATCTGCTTCCCTAAAATGTTAATTCAATCCAACTCCTTTATTTCTAGTGGAACAATTGATGATTGTGAACTGGTTGAAGGACTAGTCCTCACTCAGAAGGTGGCGAATACTGGTGTAACTAGAGTGGAAAAAGCAAAGATTGGTCTCATTCAGTTTTGCCTGTCGGCTCCAAAGACAGATGTGAGTTTGTCTGGTTCTGCTGAAATTGATCCTTATCATAGCATGTGGGGATTTAGATGTGTAATTTGCTCCTAGATAAAATATACTTCCTAAATCTTTGCCCTGCTGTAATTTCTTTGTCCCACAATTAATTCAATAGTTTTAATTTAGCTTATAGTCCTTTTGTGTATTGTAGTTGACATTTTTGAAAAGAAAAGCCATGTTTCGTTACCAGATAAGTATCCAAAATTCTTCTTCTTTCTAAGAGGTAATTTTCCTGATTTAATTTGTTCAATTTGCGTGCTTTAGATGGCAACTCTGCAGAAAAAGGAAAACATTACCTGTTTAGAAACTTGTACTTAAATTCAGCTGGACTTCAGCAGCCTTACAGAAGACAAATATTTTTCTGTTTTAATAGATGGACAACCAGATTGTTGTTTCTGACTATGCTCAGATGGACCGAGTATTGCGTGAAGAGAGAGCTTACATTCTCAATTTAGTTAAACAAATTAAGAAGGCTGGATGCAATGTGTTGCTGATTCAGAAATCTATTTTGCGGTATGTTAACTACTGGACTGTTCTTATTGGAGTAAAGTCTCTGTACTGAGAGAAGATAAAGTATAATGGTTGGTATTCTTTCAACAACTGGCTGTTTTTTGAGCCACTGTGCTTTCAGAAGAAACGGATGTTTTCTATAAGGATCATCACATCTCAAAAATTTAACACACTTTCCACTTTTTGGATTTTTAGTCAATTTTTTTCTAAGCCTGAACTGATGTTTTAGTAGATTTGTCTTTGAACCTATAGGTACACATCCTAATGATAATTAAAGCAATAGCTTGCTACCAGCATTAAGCTTTATAATGTTATGAATTGACTCTGGGTTTTTATTTATTTATTTTTATTTTAGAGATGCTCTTAGTGACCTTGCTCTGCACTTCCTAAACAAGATGAAGATCATGGTGGTTAAAGATATTGAAAGGGAAGACATTGAGTTTATATGTAAGGTAAAAAAATGGGAAATGTGCTTGAGTTTCCAGAGTCCAGCTTCCTGTATAGTGTTACATTCTACGTAAACTATTTAATTGACTTGGAGCTTTTGAAATGTAGACTATTAAAGTATGTTGAAGAAACAGACGAGAGTACTCTCAAGGATATCCTTTTATTTTTGGCCTCTGAGGGGAAGAAAAGGCAAAAATATTGGGCTTCTCTAAAAAAGCAAACAGTTAAACCATCTCTAATCTACATTCAGTGTTTCTTGATTAAGACAATTTCGCTGAGTTGTGTAATGCTTAATTTATGGGTTTAACTCTGTTTCTGTAGACAATTGGAACCAAGCCAGTCGCTCATATTGACCAGTTTGCTCCTGACATGCTCGGATCTGCAGAGCTGGCAGAAGAGGTCAACCTGAATGGCTCTGGGAAGCTAATAAAGGTAAGTAGAAATAGAGTAACTTTTTCATTATTGCAAGATTGAAATGTCACTTTAAAAGGAGATATCCTGATACTTCTTGGTTCTAGGAAATAATACTTAATTCTACTAAAAAGTTGTAACTTGGGTTTCAGTACTGGGCAATATTTTTTTTTTTTTTTCTCGTTACTAATTCAAGAAAACCTTAGTGGACTGGTTTAATGAGGCTTGGTCATTTGTCAAGGAACCAAATATAAGGTCTGCCACTTCAGATCTGTACAGCTTGTTGTTCCCTGTTAACGAGTAATATCACAGGCTTAATATTCATTTTTAGTCCAACTATGCTACTTTGTTATTGCAGATTACGGGGTGTGCAAGCCCTGCAAAAACTGTAACAATTGTGGTACGTGGATCCAACAAATTAGTGATGGAAGAAGCTGAACGTTCAATTCATGATGCACTGTGTGTCATACGCTGCTTGGTGAAGAAAAGGTAACACCTGAGCCTTCTGTTTTTGTACTGGTCTATATACAGCAGTATACTGTAGTCCCTTAAATATACAAAGCTTTTACTTCAGAAACTTATGATATTTAAAATCTTGCTTTTGTTTCTTAGAGCCTTGATTGCAGGTGGTGGTGCACCAGAGATAGAGTTGGCCTTGCGCTTGAATGAATATTCTCGCACCTTGAGTGGTATGGACTCCTACTGTGTCCGTGCATTTGGAGATGCACTGGAAGTTATTCCATCTACGCTAGCTGAAAATGCGGGCCTTAATCCTATTTCTACTGTAACAGAGCTGAGAAATAGACATGCTCAAGGGGAGAAGACAGCGGGCATTAATGTCAGAAAGGTAAAAAAAAGAATAGGCTCTTTAAAGGCATAATGCTTGATAATAAAGATATGAACAAAGGCATCCAGATTTTAGTCCCAAACAATTCTGTGTATATTTTTTGGGTCAGATACTTGTTGGGGGGGTTTTCACTATTTTTAACTTCTATAGTGATCTCAGTGCCTTTTAACAACTTATACACAAGTTGGTACTATGACTGCTCAGCTCTGCATATAATTTCAGCAGAAGATTTGAGCATTTTCATGTTCAAAACCTCAGAAAAATCACGAATTTTAAAAAAGCTTGATTGTGGGAATCTTAATGCTTGTTATTTTGAATGTTCTATTAGAAATCAATGAAGTCTTTAAAAAAATGCCTGTGTTGGACAGTTGATTCATATGTATATACAGGGGGAAGTCAACATTTCCCTCAGCTCTTCCAAAGAATAAAACTGTTGTCACATTGGAGAAAATTAAACAGAGTTCCCCAACTGCCTGCCAAGAAGAATGGTTTATTTCATGTTCTTCCTGCAGGGGGGGCAGTGAAATTAAATGGCTTTCATGTAGGCAGGTGGCAAGCTGGGGTGGAGGGGAATATTTGGTTCTCCCAAAATAGAATCCTTCAGAATTTTCCCCATTAAAAAGTGAAGATTACTTTACCCTGATTCAAAATAAAATCTTTAAAACCTGTTTCTGTCCCACAAAAATTCTATTTTCTACTCTACTAACAATAATATGCTCGGCAGTGCTAGCATTAGAGGGCTTGGCTTGTGGTGGGAGTAGTAATATTTTCAAGTTGCCAGTGAAATGTCAATGTCATCTTCGTAGCCATGAAAACCATAGAATTCCATTATTTTAGAATAAAAATGTAGATTGTTGTACACCAAATAGAGCAGGGGTGGGCAAAATGGGGCCCCTACAAAATTTAGAAAATTAATACTTATCTGCCCCTGGCTGCCTTTCATGCGGCCCTCAATAGCTTGCCAAAATTCAGTAAGCAGCCCTCCGCCGGAAATAATTGCCCGCCGCTGGAATAGAGCCAACCAGGGGAAATATCTGCTCACTTAGATTATGTGAATTGGCAACACTGACTTCTTTTCCATCAGTTTGGAGTAGCTAGCTTCTTGCCTGGGCACTGAATCTGGGAGCATAGCTGTGGGTGGATACAGCTGCATCTGTATCCATTTTCTCCCTGGTTCAGTTGGTTTTGGATGGATTTCTCAAATACTGCTGGAAGAAAAATCTCTGTACAACAGAATCCTTACTGGGAAACAAATGGTACACAAACTGCTTCCACAATATGCTAATGAATGTTTTTCTTTGAATAATATACTCACCAAGGGACTACTAGGGATAATATAAAAGTAAATGTTTCAAAGCAAGTCTGCATTGTACAATCTGAGGATGAAATTTTGGTTTGCAGGGTGGAATTTCCAACATCCTGGAGGAGTTGGTTGTCCAGCCTTTGCTTGTCTCTGTCAGTGCTTTGGCACTTGCTACAGAAACTGTCCGCAGCATTCTTAAGATTGATGATGTGGTAAGGTATTTTTCTTCTATGTGCGTGTTCTACTTCAAGTGTGATGGTGCTATGAAAAAACTGTATAGTCTGTGTAATGGGTTAACCTAAAAATTCTGCTACTTACTACTGGGCTTCAAGATACTTCTATAACATTCCTAGAATTAGTGTGCTGCTGTTCTCTCACAGAAGTGCACTTGAGTAATTGCAGCCAAATACTGGAAAGCAACAAGTTTGTATTAAAAAATAAAGTACTAAATAGATTATGTGAAGTGGGGTGTTTAAAATAATGAGGGGTAGGGGTTCCCATGCCCTGCCTACAGCGTGTCTGACTTCTAATTCTTTTTGCAGGTGAACACTCGGTAAGACAACTGCAGAAAACAGTGGTATTGCCCGGGGTATCTTGCCATAGTTCAGAACGTGGTCTCTTCATGAGATCTCTGCATCGGACATCTAGCTAATGCCTACTTACATCTATGTACTTTTATCAATTTAATTTAATAAAATCTGTGGTTTCGAAAAGCAAATTCTGTTTGTAAAAGAAAAGACGGTATTCTACACCTGGAGGTCTGCATTAAAAAATTCAACCATTCTGCTTTTGTAGTGTGTATGCTTTTTTTGCAGTGCCCAGTCCTGGTTGGATAGAAGTCTCTGTCATTAGCTTTTACAGTCATTTGTAGTAATATCATTATGAAATGTTTGCTTCAATAATGGCCTAGCTCAGAGGTCCTTGCTCAGAGTTGTTCCTTCCAGGTTTCTGAAATAGAGAGAGAATTGCTCTAATGGGTTTTGGAACAGGATTTATTCTTGCCTTGTAAATTCAAATGCATTTATTTCTTGTACCATTCTAATATAGACACTGAAGGAAGGAGAGAGAAGGCTTTCATCAGCTCTTCAATACACTCCTGTACATCAGCCAGCTGAGACAGTTGGCTAACTAGTGCACGTAGTTTCCTACATTAAGTGGAACAATACTTGGGACTTTAGGTCTTTATTCTAATAGTTGGTCACTAAATGCAGCAATATGTAGGTTGAGGATGATGCTGATGTAATTTTAGTCCAGCCTGAATTTTCATGTAATTACCTTCATCTAGATTTCAATGATTGGACCTTATGGAAATAAACTGAAAACACACAAGTCCCATGCAGATTAGACAAGATTTTGAGCAATACAGGTTTTTTACTTTTAACCCTGTGATATGCTTACCACGTACCTATAGATCACCTACAGACTCCTCGGTTTCTGAAATATGCCATTTATTGACTGGCTGTTATTAAAGAAATAGTAAAGACAGTGTAATGCATGTAAAAGACCATTCTTTAATAGCATAAACTGCAGTAATTAATATTACAACTTAGTGGACTTAATGAGGGGTAGAAAGATGCTTCTAGCTCATGGTACTGTTTTATTGGTGACTTGTAAAAAAAACAAACAAACAGGTGTACAATTGGAATTCAGTTTGCACTACTCATTTGATTGTCATTTTGTATTGTAGCAGTGGCCAGCCTTTTTGACAGGTGTGCTGCAAATTAGCTCTACATGCTCCCCAAGTGCCACTAATCCCCTTTCCCTGCCTGATCCACTGTTCTGCTTTCTGTTCCCAGCCCTGTACTCCCCATCTGACCTGCTGTTCTACTTTTGTTTCCTTCCTTGCAGTCTCTGTTGTATCTGCTGCTGTGCTGCCTGACCCTTCCCCTTCCTATACAGGTTGGCCACCCCTGCTCTAACACTTCATTTAGCAACTCTACTAGGAGGTGGTAGTATACAAGGGCAGGGAGGGTGCTAAAGCAGCAGTGGGTTTTAATATATTAATTTCATTCCACCAATGTTGAAAACAGCTCTCATTATCAGTGATAATGCTTTTTTATTCTCTGTCCCACTGTTGATCAGCTGTTGGGGAACTCCCCCCTTTGCTCATCAATCAGCTGCCAGAGCACCCCCACCCCTGCTTAATGACCAGCCAGGGGACTCCCTGCTTCTGGACAGGCTACCAGAGGTGGTATACCAACCAAAAAATGTTGAAAACCCTTGCTATAGGTATCATTATGAAGGAACCATAGGCTACTTCTTGGGTATCTTGGATTCTGAATATGGCTATGTCACAACCCAATGATTTTAGTGCCTTGGCACGGTGGAATTTTCCCGCCACGTGAGAATCTCTGTGCACAGCAAAAGTTTTCTGTTGCAATAGAAACCCCCAGTGCAAGAGAGTTCCTGCCATTCGTATGCAAATTTGTGTCCCACTATTGGCCATTCTAAATTATTCCTACGTGGCGGCTAACGATTGGCTTTTCTACCGGATAAAATTCTCGGCGACATCAAGTCGGAGAACTTTGAGCACGCTGCAGAGTGCCTTTGAAGATTCCTGACTCGTGGCTGAGCTGATCGATAGCCTGATCAACTATCGATTTGTCTCCCCATCGCCGAGCACCATCCCTCGACGTACCCTTTCCCTGCCGGCCTGGTTCGTGTACGGATTCGCTGGCCTGAGCCTTACCAGCTGGAGCAACTCGTGTAGTGGTTTAGCCCCCCTGCGTCGCAGCTACTAGCGGCGTAAGTAAAGCTTTTTTGTAACCAATACGCTTTGTCTGCCTCTCTATTCACCAGCCCGCCCAACAACCGAGTAATTTCTAGATCACCTCAAGTTGGCCCCGGCCATCTGAGACAGGCTACAGCATGCAACATAAAAGGGAGGGAAAACTATAGGAGAATATACCCATTTTTGTAAATAAACTCCTTCCAAGGTCTCCAGCCCCTCACACTAGATCCAGCCACAGAGCGACCCCATATGCTAGCAGAGCTGTTAAAGGCCACACCTCTTTACCGGTTCCTGTTAGAAGTTCCTGCCCTTTTTCTCATCCTTTCTGGTTCTTTAGGCATTCAAGAGAGGGACTCACTTGTATGAATGACAGGGATAAAGAATCATAAGTACCATTTAATGCTTCAAACATATTGAACAGTCCATCAAAAGTAACAAGCAAATCTTTCCATATTAAAATCCTTACAAATATTCTTCACCTAATTTACCGTGTGAGAGATCTCGAGCGTTTTGGACCTTGATAGCCATCCTTGTAGAGAGAGAACTGGGAAGTCAGATTGTTTTGCTGTATGTTATGGCTATGTAAGCATAGGTGTCTACATTATTCTTGTGTTGATAAAGGACAGTGTAATTTCTTAGTAAGATCAAATAGTTGAGAGTCAATCCATTAAATCTTAACTGGCTGCAAGTCCCTTGTAATAAAAGTTGCACTCCATTAGAATCTGTACCATACCCACTTGTAAAATATACCCATTCACTTTTAGTAAAAGCTTTTTCTGCTTTTTAATAGAGCAAGATAAATTTATTTTCTAAATAAGTTTAATTGTCCATCCTCAATAAAATCTGCTTGGTGAAAATAGCATCATTTTTTAGCTAGCACATTATCTGAGAGTTTAATATGTTTTTAAAAGAGAGAGTTGTTTAAATGTCACCAAAACATGTATATCTGACTTCAGTGCAACAATATTTGCTTTACTTATTGATGTAGGAAAATATTCACCCTTCAAAACACCAAAAAAGTGCATCATGGACCTCAGCTGCTAAAGATGTAGTATTTCCTAAAGAACCTAAAGTACAAAACAACTAAGCCAGGGGCAGATTCAGGGGGCCTGAAGTAGTGCAGTTGCACTTGCTTTGATTTCTGGTCCACCCAAAGTTTAAACCAACTGCCTAGCAATAGCAGCAGCATTTCAACTCTGGCCGCAGCAAGGGAGTGAACTGATTGATAGTTCCTTAACACCTACCTGCTTTTTTATAAAGTCTTCATTCACACAGATCAGGGGTTCCCAACCCCCAGGCCACAGCCCAGTAAGTTTGGCTGCCAAACCTGAAGTCTGCAAGTGACCGGCATACTGTGGACCGTGGTCACTGCCAGTCCATGGTTTGCTGGCCCACAGCTAAAAAGGTTGGGAACCCCTGCCACATATTTTAACAACCCTCTCTCCTTTTTAACTCTCTTGATGTTTCACTTACCAAATTATCCTTCCTTCCTGCCATTCTGCTGTCTGTCAGTGGCTTCACTGCCCTACAGACTCTTAAATCCAGCTGAAAAACTTTAACTCAGGTGAACATTTCAAGGTTGGAAATAACTTCCAGTGAAGTACAAGATACCCTGTTACGGTGCTCAAAAAGGCTAGATTTTGTTTTATGAAAGTGAAAGATGTCCAATGACTAATGAAACAATATTTTTTTTATTTTAGACTTTGCCTAGTTGGTTGTGTTTTTTCTACATGACTTAGATAAATGCACATTCTAATCATAGAGTCATAGAATCATGGAAAAGTAAGGCTGGGTCATCTAGTCCAGTGGTTCTCAACCTTTTTTGTATTGGGACCCATTTGTAAACATCAAGGGCCATTCTTAACCTAGTGCCCTCACTCCGGCCCTGGTCCTGGCCCCTGCCCCTAGTGTGTGGAGCAGGAAGTGTTTGGGGCATGAGTGGCCCCAGGCAGCCTTATGCAGGTTTGAACTCTGCCAGCCTGCAAGGGAAAAGCCATGGTTTCCCAGTTTTTTCCACTGAAGAAGAATCCCATTTTTAAAGTTTGTTCACAGCCTTTTTGCATATTATTACAACACACTTTTGGATCATGACCTGGAGGTTGAGAAATGCTGCTCTAGTCCAACCCCCCCTGCCTGAGGCAGGATCATCCTATACAATCCACAATCTAAGTGCTACACAACATTACCATCAACCCTGACACAACAGGGGAACTGCGTCAGGTGATGTCCTGCTTCTATGAAATGTCATCAATCCATGCTCAGGAGATCCCGGACAGAGGGTCACAACCCTGCTACAGAGGAAGGCAAAACCTCACTACAGTCCATACCAATTTGACTGGGATAAAATTCCTATCTGACCTAAGTGTGGCAATCGGTCTGACCCTGAGAAGAGAAAGACGACCCTTTAGCTAGGACCCTCTGTCTTTGATCCCAGCAGGTATGTTGGCACATCCCAGTCAAAATCCCCAGTCTTGGCTGCTGCCAATACTCAGTGCCTCTGAGGAAGACATAAAGACACCCTGACACACGTAGCAGAAACAGTGCCGGGCTATGACATGCTGAGGCCCTAGGCTATCTATGTCCAGTTTAAGAGGCCCCGGGCATACAATCAAAATAATCCACAACAATGGATTTTCATGAAATTTTAAGATAAATTATCATTATTTCTGCACAAATTAATGAATCAACATAAATAACTGGAACTATATATACATATATATGTATATTTTTGTGATATTAGAACAAAAATGTCCATTTTTTTTTCTTTAGAGGCCCCTCATATTGTGAGGCCCTAAATTGTAGCTTAAGTAGTTTAAGCCTAAATCCAGCACTGAGCAGAAAGACAGGGGGATGAGACAAAACCCCCAAAAAACTGCATACCCATGGTAGAAAATAGGCATAGCTATGGCTACATCATCCCCAACCAGGGTGTTGAACACCTCCAGGAACCAAGAGCCCACAGCTCCCCTGGCCAGTCTATCCCCCTGCCCCTCTGCTCAAACACTGGAGAAATCTTTCCAGATATCCCATCTAAACTCATTTGGCTGCAGTTTCAAGTCCTCCTGCTTTAGGCAGCCCTTCAAAAGCATGGGAAGACTGCTCTCCCCTCCTTTCTGGAAGTGTCTTTTCTGCAACCTGCTGTATTTCTTTCAGCTTCAATCTTCACCTGAGTAACAGCTGAAGATTGAAGTCAGGGCTCAAGTCACAGATTGTAAGGGGCCGGAAGGGACCTCCGAAAATCACTGGGTCCAGCCCCCTGCACCAAGCCGGGAAGACATCTGGGGTCAGGTGACCCCAGCAAGGTGTCCTCCAGTCTCCTCTTGAATATTTCCAGGGTAGGCGATCGCACCACCTTTGCAGGGAGCTTATTCCAGTGTGGAGACACTGACTGTGAAGAAATGTTTCCTAGTGTTGAGCCTGAAGTTTGTGTTTGTGACCATTACTCTTGGTTTTCCCCTCAGCTGCCATGGAAGTCACCGGAGGGGAAGCTGGGGAGCTTATGGGGAATCTGAGGAGGCTGAGCGCCCCCCCCAGGAGACAAGAGCCCCCCTGTAAGATTTTAAAATCATAACTTGGGGGCGGGGGTCTCCGATTGCACTAGGGCCGCGTGATGGGCAGCCCAATTTGTTTTACAGACCACCCCTCAGGAGTTAAAGCCTGATTGAAGCAACGGCTTAGGAACGAAACAATTGCAAACTCTAAGATCGGCCCCGCCGCACTTCTCGGTTCTTTTCAGCTGGAGAAAAGCCCGCCACCCGCAGAGTGACCTGCCCGGGCCCGCTCTACAGCCCGCACTGGCGCCACTGCTCTGCTCAATGGGGAGGGTCACGTGACGCCGTGTGCCCCGCCCCCACGCAGGCGGGCCC